GAAACATAATATATTATGACCAAGTTAGACAGGGGCTGCTAGGACTGTTTATCAAGGTCAATTCTTGGCCTGTGCTCAATTTTGTGAGAGGAAATAAAAGCCTCATTCATTTGAATTCATTACTTTCTTTATTTACTCCAGAATATTCATATTTTAATGAGATATTAAAGACTACTTAAAAACTCTATTTAGCATTAATTCTACAAATTTATGATTTATGATGCCTTCATGAGGGATTTTTGTTTCATTGCTGCCTCAGCGTCCCGTCGTCTTCATTATAACAGTGTTTTAATAATAGCTCAAAAAGGTGAGACAGGGGTGGAGTTGTGTGTATCTGCCTGACACTTTAAGAGACAAGAGCTACTTGTCAAACTCTGATGTCCAATCAATACTCGTCTTTGTGAAGACTTAACTTTTCAGGCCGCAGTGGGTTTTCTTCTCATCCAACATGCAAATGAGCTGATGGATTCATTTCACAGCCAAGACACACAACTGTCCACTTCCTTGGCTCGCACACCCGACTCCCTGCTGCACGCTGCAGCTCCGCTCGGACACGGTGCGTCATTGTTGCAATGAATTTTGGGACTTTTTATTGATTCTCGACAGTGAAGTCACCATTGATTTGACAACTTAACTTCTGGAAACTCTATCCTCCTCCATCCTCCATCTTAGAGACCTTAGTTTTCCAACTAAGGCAGTGAAATGCCCTGGTACATAAAATGCATCAGGGAGGATTCCAGAGTTCACTTTGTGGAACACTGTGATATAGTTTATAGATTTCCAGATGCTGCCCTTATTACATCTGCCAACAAGGTTATGTTTTCAGACCAGCTTGTCTGTTTTGTTTGCTTGTGTCGTGAAACTTATCTGATTTCAATGACTTTTTAAGCTTTACAAAGTTTTAACAACTGAATTGTGAGAGGTGAAACATAAATTCCAGCATATTACATGCTATAACATTTGGGTGTTTGAGGACAAGCACATATTAACTCTGAACTAACCTGCCAAAATTTGGTATGTTGTCTGTAGAAGCTACCACACGACTGAACAAGACAAATCAGAACGCTCAGAAACAGAATCAGCATCAATATTTGTCAAGAGCTACTTTGGTGTTTTATTTTTCAGCACATCGACCCATTGAATGTTTCATACTTATATGATGAAATCGCTCAACATCCAGAGGAAAGAGTGGCACAAGATGTAGAGACGGTCATGGTTTGCAGGGGACCTATAACATAGACTGTATGAACCAAACAAATAAGTCTATGTGAAATAGTTTTCCAAATGGTTTCTGTCATTTAAGGTCGTTATTATCACACTGATGTATGTGTTTATTTTGCTGGTAGGTTTGGTTTTAATAAGTCATCTGATATAAAAATGCTTGACAGCTGAGACTGACATGATTGATCGAGCACATGTAGGCCTTTTGGTGGGACGTCGAGACCACAGCTCTACACCATGATCACTACTGCGCATTCTCTGGCACCAAATATCATCAAAAGCACAAAATGGCGGCACCATACACAAGATAGCTTCATTTCTGTACAACTGGAGGAAGTCGAGACACGTCATCCATCTCTATTAACGTCTATGAGCTATACTAAAGACTTCTGTGATCCCTGACTTTACCTCTTGCGTTGCCAGTTGTTAATTGAAGGATTACTTGAAGACTACAGTTATTATTTGTGGGTACAGGCAGCGGAAAGAAGTGATTGGAAACCACATCTCCATGTGTCTCTGTCTGACCAGCAATGGCGTATATTACCCTGAGGTGACACCACAGACTACTAAATCACAGAGTTAGTGATTAGCAAAGTTGGAGGGGCCTCGCACTGGAGCCAAAGCCCAATCCAATAACTCTCAACATTGAAATTAATGTTTGTCTAGGAGGTGCTGTAAAATGTTCTCTCAATTTTTTTCCACTTTCCACATTAACATCTTAAATGAGGTTATCGCACCCGTGGGGCCTTGACACCTTGCTCCGATCCATTCTTTCTCTGTAGTTATGTGAAACAATATCACATGTACATTTAAATCTGCCCATTTTGTGTCACATCAAGAGTGTTTCTAAAAGCAGACAATACAGCTGTCGACAAAAACAACTCGAGGTGTGAAATTTGCCGCAGGGAGAGGACACATTTACGTCGTCAGTGATATACTGAATAATAAATTACACATGGGAGACCAGAACATATATAAACACGACACGAGATACTGAAAGAACTTTGCTTCTTTCACTTCTGTTGTTGGAGAAATCTTTTCCAACACACGCACAGGAATAGCAATGGTAACATCTTTAAATTTAGAAACGACGCCTCCTGAACGTGTGATGAACACTAATTAACAACATTTCAGCTTGAGAAAGCGCTCGTCTCCTGCCTTTTTGCACATTGCGTCCCCTGGTTCCTGGTGTGGGAACAGACTGAAAACTCTGTAAGATGTTGATCCCTGCATCCGAAAGTGTTAACTTCCTGTTTACCCCCACTCGAGTTTCCTCACTGTTGATTCTGCCTTCTCACAAACTTTGTTCAGTGTACTTGTCATCAAGTTTGCAGAAAGTGACAGTGTCTTGATTTTTGATATTTTCCAGATGACAAATTTAGCAAATTATCACCTATATGTGGCCTATTTCCACGTGTGGTGTTGACACTGTATGTACGGTGAATATGTTCAACACTGGTTAATGAGTTGTTTGCTTATTTGATGTTTAATACAGGGTAACGGATGAATAGAGAGGAGAATTCAAGTAAACCGTTTATTGACCAATTTACATATAAAAGGGAAAATAAATTGTCTCTTTGCTGAGAGGCAACGTTTTACAATATCCATTCGGGTGTTTAAGTAAAAAAACTAAATTCCACTTTATGTTTAATAGCTAGAAGTGTCTATACTCCATTAGAAACAAATATATTCAATCAAACCTTCTGAGTAATTCTGCATCAAATAAGCAAGAAATGAGCTGTTTGATGACATGAAAACCCAGGATTTTATGATATAAACATCATTTCCTATTTTAAACAGCAGCTGACCATGTTGCAGTCGGTATCAGCCAGGTCTGAGGAGCAGGAAGTGAACGCCTGAGTGCTGGGCATCATGCCCGGACCTGCCTGGTTTGTGTGATATATCCACACTGAATGGCTCAAAGCGAGACCTTGAACTCACTCAATATCATTTTCTGTTATATTTCACACTGAGCTCCAGTGGCTTTTCGAGCAAACAAAGTTCGACGGGGACATGTGAAGACAGGGGGAGCGCTGAAACTGAACAGGTTGTTGGTAACAACTGTCAGAGCTTTGTATTATCCGCCGATAAGACTGATGCCTAAAGGGTCAATAGAAATGAGGGTTTCGCATTCTGGTGATCCTTTTGTTCCTGCCGAAAGGAATCACATTAAAGGATTCCATACTGCACAATTCATAACTATGTTCACATATTCAGACAGCTAGGGTTTGTCACAAAACCAAGAAACCATCTTGTCAACCCAAATCTAACAAGCGTTCTTTTGTGTCCGAACCCGACCCCTTTGTATGAATGATTGTTTTCTTTACCCTCGAATGGGCCCTTTATATTAAAATACTTTATATTTACTTCAGGAGTGGGTCCTCTCTACAGAGGCCGCCATGTTTTTTTTTTTTTTTTTTTTACAGTCATTCAAACTTCACAAACACCTTTTGAGTTTTTCTGAAAACTGAAGGCGACCACAGGTTCTCCTTCATGTTTGGAAGGGGAGGGTGAGGTGAGGGGTATACAGCTGCAACATGCGACTTGACCACTAGATGTCACTAAATTCTGCACACTGAATCTTTAAGCCAGTTTAGGGACATGAGTTGAATATGTAATTTTGAGAAACAAAGTAGACACGTCTCTCAAATTGTAAAATATACTGTGTAATACATGACTTTCTAGAGGCTTCTTTAACTGCGTAGCTCTAATCAGATACAAGTTTAATACTTTATCAAATCTGTCTAATGGCGACTATTATACTGAGCAAGGTGCAGACGAATCTTAATGCAAGCCATTATCTCCTCATTAACTGCGTTAACACAGAGGGATAAAGCAAACAACTAGTCGGCTTTCTGCTTCTTCTGTGCTTCTGCTTAACCACTGCTGGGTGTTGAGTCCCTGTGCTGTATTTCTACGACTTGTGAAGATCCAAGTGCAGATTCTCGGAGGTGTATTATTCACATAGAAATGGAGCTTGCTGGCACAGCCCTCATCCAACACTCATTTGAAAGGTGTGTGCTCTCCTGTTCCTGGTGCTTAGCCTCATACTCTCTCTCAGACCCTCTCATACGCCGCTTTACTGTATATCGTTTCCAATCTCGTCTCTTCTCTATTCATTGGTTGCTGTGCTTTTCAGACAAGGCTTCTCTGTAACAAAATGCCCCCCCAATCACACCATTACTATTATTCCTGGATTAAACTCCTTGTCAGGAAAAAAAAAAAAATCAAGTCACTCAAGCTCAATTAAAAAGATTGAGTATCCATGTTTAGCACAACCTAATGGATGTGTGCAATAAGCCCCAGCTATTAATGTTTAATGTATAATTGAATGTTCTACATGGCCAAACTTGTTTACTGGGATAATTGATGTTTCTGATTTCCCATTCCCCTGCAATAGCAGAAGTGACGCAAACAGTATAGGGGAAGATTGGTGGTGAGGTCAAGCCACAGACGTCAGACTTAATTACCACACTTGAAAAAGGGAACGCCAGATGAGCTCTAAAAAGGTAGCAACAGCCCTTCAACCGCAAGCCGCTGAAGCTCGGCAGGAATCTCGGCGCAAACATGTATTATACGACTTGTAAATTCACCAATCACCAGAAAAAGAAAGAGAAATGCACCATACCGATTCGTTTCCACATCTGCAAAAAGGCCTGTAAGGCTCTAAATTACAGCCTGAAAGGTTGCCAGCTTTATATTTTGTGAGTGTGAGGCTTTGAGTGTGTGGGTGTGTGTGTTTTCTCATTTCATCCACTGGGTTTGGTTTGCGTGTTTACCTGAGAAGAACAGCAGGGTGTGACTGAGGTGGTGAGAGCAGTCTCATGGTCCACTGCACATTAGACACAGCAGAGTCTCCAGAGTGAGCCCTCATGCTTTCACTCTGCCCGTCTTGATCTTGCTTGATGCAGGGCTGACGGATGAGAGGAAAACATGTAATTGTCATTATTCTTTGTGATTATTATCAATACCGGGATTTAAATTGAGAGTATTTTCAATTAATTTGATTACAGGCCTGTATTGTGATCTATTAAGTCTCCAACATGACAGATTAGTAATAAAATATAAACATGGTGCTATAGCATTTAATATCTATGCACTCCAACACATAGTTCTTTCTAAATAAATTAGTAGGAATAGACACATCACATGAGAGTAAAAAAGAACTAAACTAATCATGATAGCAGGGAAAAACAATACTATAGCCACAGTATATTCCTGCTATTTGCTTTAGACATAGCTGACACCCATGGAGACAATGCAACAATTTAAAAATGTCAATTTAAGCCTTATTTGAGCTGTGACCTTTTCCATAATAAATACCACTTTAACCTTTTCTTTCCACTGTTTCATATTTAGGCTTTACCACTGTAGCCACAGGATTTTAATCCTTCTGTTTTTTAAAGCAATTTTAAATGTTATCCCGACCAAATAAAGTTTGTTTTTTCATTATTTGATTTCCCAAGAGGATGCTTTAAAAGCCTCGAGTCAAATTTGAATCTATTTCTTACATAAGCTTGATTTCCTTTTTAACATCCTACCAGAATAGCTACAGTTTTAGGCTCGTAATGTTTGTTGAAAGCTGCTCAAACATAATCCTGAAGACTTTCCATATTTTGTCATTATAGCGGGGTTTTTGACCTTCCTATCAAAATTCATTCACTTATGGAAAGACAAGAATGTTTCCTCCAATTCGTTTTCAGCAAAAGCAGAATCCAGTCTTCCTCTATAAAATCCTCTAAAACAATTCCTCCTTCTTTTCACCTTTCCTCACATCTTATTAAGGGCTGGTTCAGTTAATGGTTATTTCTTAAGTCTCACAGAGTGTTGATACAAGACTGATGGCACCTAAAGCTACCGCTGACAGCTCTGCACCGTTGCTGCTAACGGCAACATTAGCTCCTCAGACTGACAGGACGAGCTGCTGTCACATCCTTGGAGTCTCATTTCGAAAACTTTTAGGGTTATGAAATTAAAGCGATATGAACCGCTTCAAAGTTTGTTACAGCGAGAATTCGAAAAACTCTGTAAACCTGCTGTCTGTCATTTACACTCAACCGCACTGCGAGACTATACCTGCTGGAGGCCTGACGTGTGGCGCGCCAGGCAAAGAAGTGCATGACTGCAAGATGGCAAAGCTGTACAGAAACCCTGTTTGGTTAGAAATGTTGCTCTCGCAAATGTTTTATTGAGAATGGAAACATTTCACATTCAGCTTGTTAGACCAACAATAACGAAGACAAACACAGCTTCAGTGTTTGCACCCAAGAAAACCCTAGAGAGCCTCTTTAACTGAGAAGAACTCACTTTCTACTTGTTTATTTGGGCTATTTTAATTGTAATATTCTGTGCTTATATTCAAGATATATATACATTTTAAAAATATTGATTAAATTTGCACATAGCTGCTAAAATCTACTACAGCTGTAAGTTACTACTGAAGCCAAGGACTTTACCTTTTGATGAATCACTCCTCGTGATTTCGATTTAAAACCATTTTATCTTCCAGCCTTCGCTCTCTATCTAGCCACCCATGTACTTTAATATATCGTTTCACTGAATTCTTTTTTCCTTTTCCTCTCCTCCCCCTTCTCACACTTCCACTCACATCACTCTGAGCGATCAATAATCAATGTGCATGGGCTGCCAAAGACAACTCACCTGCAACACTGTGTACAGTGACTGGACAATAGCCAAGCCTTGATCTACACAAACAGGAGTGCTCACAGATGCACCCTCACGCCTGCTGGCTTTGCAGAGCTTCACACATGGGGGGGCTGTGTGTGTGTGTGTGTGTGTGTGTGTGTGTGTGTGTGTGTGTGTGTGTGTGTCTTTCGCCTGCTGTTCCTTCCACACTACTTCCTCCCCGGCTCCATAACCGCACAGTCTTCGAGTCATTTAGATTTCTCCCAGGTGGTTCGAATTTAGTTTGAACTTACAGGCGGGTTTAAGCTGATGAACAGCTTTTATTGAACATGAATAAATTTAGGGATTGAGATTAGTCAGCTCCTTCTCTCTGATGATCTGACTCCGCCAGAGGATGTGCTCAGCATTAAAAAACTGCACCGAAGGAGACAAAAATGTGCACAGCTTTCAATGAACGAGAGAAAGTGGAGCTGGTTCTGAGCGAGCTGGGAGCTGAGAAGCGTGTAGACCCGATTGTGACTATAGTGCATGGTGCATAAAGACATATCCTGTGTTGGGTGACTCAGGTATACAAGAGAATTTCGTTACCGTCTTGTTGCAGAGCTTAAAAATTCTTCTCGGGTCCTCAGTTGCTCTCCCAGCTCTTAATCTCTTGCACTTGTGTCATCTTATCGCCGATGTTTATCTACCCCATCCTTGTCCATAAACTATCCCTATTATTTAGCCTCTTCAAAATTAAAGCCCATGACACCAGATCTCCCCCAGCGTGAGTAATATCACAGCCATTGACCTTCCCATCCCTCAAGCGGGCACCGACCGGCGCATTGATCGATCCCGCTGATGGCCTTGGTGCTAATCTTCCAAGGGACCGACAGGAGGTGACGGTATTGCACCGTTCAATCTCGTGCAATTACCCTCAAAATAAACACACTTTGGATAGCGGCTGACCTTCCAATGAAGCAACTTATGAAGGAGGATGGTTGTGTGCACGTGCATACCTGTGTGAGTGCTGTTATTTATCAGTCATGAACAAAACATCCCGAACAAGGTGGCAGAGATGAGTAAAGAACAATGCGGTCAAGTCTCTTATAATAAAGCTTCACTTCCAGTAAAGCCTTTAATGTCGCGCAAGGTTAAAAACACTCGGTGCAATTTCACCACTAATATTATTTCTGACTGTATGCAAGACCCTTAAGTCTATTACACAATAACATGAAGCGTTTACGTAATGAAACTAAATCCCCTCAGGGGAGTTTATTACTGAGGTTAAAATAAAAGCTGATGTGATGAGATCACATGTGCTAAATTGAATAATGAAATGCGCTGTAATCACTCTGGATTCAAGCAGCGGTAATTAGACTAGATACGACTCTTAACGCACATGATCACAATGAACAGCACGGCTCGACCGAGGTCTCGTCTTTGCCATAGGGCACAGAACGCCGGCCTGTAAATACCATCTTTGAAGAATGAACCAACCGAGCGAGGCCAGACACACTTCCCTTTTAAGTATTCCACAACAGACCTTCTACAGAGATATCCCTCTGAGCTGCTATCTTATACGCACCATCTTAAAACAACAGCACAGCAAATGCCGGCGAGAAAAATCAATAATCAACAATAAGGGCAAAGAAATACAGTTTTAGTGTGCGATTTTTTCTTTTCTTCTGTTCTTGAGGGTCAAAAAGTAAAGTGTTTATCAGGGATATTTGTCCGTTGGTGCGCTGGAAAGTGTCGACAGACAGTGGTCAGTGATCAATGTTTAAGTTTAAATTGATAAACAAACACAAACAAAACAGAATTGCTAAAAACTGAGCCGTGCGGATTTGTACTGACTTTACTGGCATACATCCAGCTCCCTGAACGATCCTGAGATTCCTGTGCTGAGAATTTCCTTGTGTGTGTTCATGTGCGGGAGGCAAACTTCGGAGAAAGTAAGGACCCAATTCTGCAGACATTCTCTTCAGCTCATGTCTGAAAACGTTGTTTTAGTCGATGTAACCCAGGTGACACCAGAGTGACTATTTTCAAACTTTGCAAACTTCCCCTCTTGTGTCTGTTTCCCTTCTGATTCTGTTGCGTGTGGTTTTATATATAAACTATGCACCACTCAGGGAGATGTGCTAAATTTGGTTGTGCAGCTGTGCAATGACAACAATTCCATTCAATTCTCCTGATAAAGCCACAGCAGACATAGTACACTTGTGTCTACAGGCTGTGCATCCTCATGAGGAAACTGAACTGCATGTGTGCTCCAGTATAATATACAAGATCACTGGTTTATTCTAGTAAACTCTGCTTGGACAGAATATCGTCCTGCGAGTTTACAAGCAATGAGAGCATTGCCCAAGGGCACTTCTCCAGCAGGGAAGAGGCCCTCAGACACGTGAGCTCCAATTTGGCTATTTTGGTTGAGGGACAGTCTCTCTAACCACTATTCCGCCCTGCCACTTCCATGGGATAAAATTTCCTCAATGTGACAGCTGAAACGCAATTCACTTGCAACTTTACAGCCACTTTCATCAACCGCACTCTCCAACACGCCATTTAGGAATGAGCCCCTTACGCAACTGATTGTAGTGAGATGGGCATCTGCCTGTCCAGATGCACTATGGCGGCCTGCTGTTGGGAAGCTGAAGGGACAGCGACAAGCACTTAGCTGGTCCCTCAGCTACCAGCCCCATTTCCTTCCCCTTATCTAAAGTGACAAGAAGAGTCTTCCAGCCCTCTTATGCCTGAAGCTCATCCTGCCTTATCTCCCAGTGTACCAGCACCACCAGCTATCGTGTGTCCCTGATTCCTTCCGTCTAAAAATATGCTAAAAAAAGGGTGACGGCATTGGTGGAAATTCAGAATTGTGAACAAGTTGTGCTGCTCGGATGTTTTTCACTGATCATATCACAGGGTGATGGACTCGGAGCAAGTGTGTGCAGAACGTGGAGATCAGCGCTGGTGCGTTCTCCTGTATCTCGTGCCCATGTACAGCATTGGCCTCAATGCCAAATGGCTGCAGCTAGTGATCCAATGAAGTGTGTGCGGGGAACGCAAAACGACAAAACGTGAACTAAAGCAGACGCACTAATGAGATATCGATTATCTGCACTGATGTTTACACTTTTGGCTCTCTTGCATTCTCCATGTCCACTTCGGACAATCAGCCAGCTTTTTAGGAAAGCTGCATTCTGAGCCCCACAGTAAAATTCACATACATCAGATGCTTGAAGGTTTTGAAAGAAAATAAAACTTGTGTAACTCACACATAATGAA